GTAAAATAAAAATTGATAAATAGAAGAAAAAATTTTTTTCTTTTTAGTTTTTGGTTTAAGCATTTTTTTTTCAAATGAAAAAGAAAAAAGATAGGAGTGATATTACATATTATTCAAGTTTGTTATTCTTAAAACATCTTATCATCAAATTTTACTTCTTATTTTAAATTATTAATGAATGTATTAAAAATTTTTCAATTAATTTGAATGAATTTGCAAGAAGAAAAAATCACTCGATTGCTATTATTGCAATATTTGCAGGTTGTATTACTTTTGTTTTTTGTACAATAGTTGAATTAGCCATTGTATGCTTTATAACACGATGCTTTGGTGGAAATTTGAAAAAAAAAATAACACGAAAACGACGACGACGTCAAAAACAACAAAATGACCAATCACAACAACAATTATGTTTACGGTCATCGTCACCGGACCCTAATGGTATATGTCATCGCAGCGGTCATTCACCCAGAAGTAAGTTATCATTTAATAAGAGTTAATGGCTCTTATCCAAAAAATGAAACAAAAAAAAGGAAATTTTTTTTTTAAAAATTAATTTTCATTACGGCATTATCATTATTTGTTTCTTGCAATTAATGTTGATTGATAATGCACTTTAATTTAATCAAATTTATTTCCATTGTTTACATGAAAAAAAGGAAGATTAGCAAAAAAATCCTTTTAATTGCTTTTTAATTGTTTGCTTAAAATTCTTCCATTTTTTTTGTTAAATTGCTCCAGTTTTTTTAAAATCACTATAAAATTAATTTATTTTTCTTCTTTTTTCAGCTTACTCATTATTTTCACCATCCAACTTGATGCAGCAAAAAGGAAAACCTCAAAATCGGATGATCTCAGCGTCAGTCTTTCGAAAATCACCATCACCAACGTTAAGTATGCAAAATTTATCCCATTCGATTCATATTTCAGAAGCTAGAAATTTCGATGTTATCACACCTGCAGCCACCGAAAAATTACTTACATTTGAAGAGGTTAGTTACTTAGTAGTAATGTTCGACTATTCAAATTTTAAATGAAAATTTTTAATAATTATTTGTTTCTTTTCTAATAATTTTGTTAAAATGGAAAATTATGTAATGTGAAAATTATCGATTGATTTTATAAAATAATACAAATTATGAGAAACTAACTTTCTTTTATGCTAAAAAATTGATTTGCTGTTTTCATTCGCTTAGCAGATAACCTGCAACTCTAATCAATATTCCGGTAAGCGAAGTTTATTGATAATTGATATTAGACCTGAAACGATTGACAAATTATCACTTGTATGTTTTCCGCTTGCATTCACTCTTTTCAATGTGAGTTTTAAATTTTCATCACTTTTATTTATTAATGTCAACAGATGGATTATAGCTTACATAATAAACTATTTCGAAAGTGTGGATTTAGCGAGAGCAATCATTTTTCTGCTTTCATCCAGCCAATCATAGCTGGAATGTTATCTTGTAGATTTGAAAGATTAAAGAATTATTATTGAAAAAATAAATTGAAACATTATTAATTTCAGCTTGTATATTGGTGGTATTATCTACTCAGTATATCTGAACATCATATCGAAGAAATGAGAGACGAAAAAATACCACAGCAATTTGTTTCAGGAAATTCCGGACTATCATAGAATCAATCTATTTTGATGGATCTTTTATTTCGCAAATCTACCTGATAGCTGTCAATGACAGTTTTACTAGGTGACTTCAGTCATGAACCAATAATAAATAAATTTATTAAAAAAATGTAGCCCACACTGAATTCTCCTACTTCCATGAAACACAGTAATACGAACCTTCCGAAATGGAAAGCAATTATTTTCATCACTACAAGCATCAACTCTGCAATGTATTGTGCAACTTTTCCCCCTATGCTTATTATTAGCAAAATGGACGTCAGGAAAATGCTCTTGGGAATTCCAAAGAACAAAATACACCAAGTTCCAGAGCAATTGTATCAACAATCACATTATACAACTAGACCCTTGTCAAGTTTTAAGGAAACAGCTAACGCATTTCTCTAAAAATATTATCAGTTAGTTTCCTTCATTGGTTTACGACATTTTCACAACAGCATTAACTTTCAAATAGTGCTAAAATTTATTATTCTTCATCATAAATTTATTATCATCAACAATCGTAGTGGTCAACGAATATATCCACTTGTTTACGACAGAATCAACGAAAACACAATGCATTTTAAATATAATAATTGCGGGAAGTTATGTCAACATCACTTTAACTGAAAATAAGAAAAAAAACACGGTAATACAATTCAAGTTGTTTCTTTTCCATTACATTCAACACTGTAACTGTTGCAAAAAAACAAACTCTGTGAGGAAATAAGACAACAGTAAACCAAATACGACATGCATTCAAATTCTTCTTCTAATTCTTTTCCAACATATTCGCAAATCCAGTACTTTAGATGAGATCTGCCACTGAAATAAAAAAAAAAAAATGAAATGATAATCCACTTTTTGTGGGATTTATCTATTTATGCAAGAAAGCATCACAAAGAAATTATTTGAAGACTACTACATTATGAATTGAACTTAAAAACATCTATTGCTTGAGATCAACTTTTATCGAATTCAAAAGCAACTGTTTTAATGCTGTTTCCGTTAGATATACATGTATAATGTATAGACGGCTTGATATCTAAAAATGCCTTAACAAACTAAACATCCAAGGAATAGTATTGCAATCTATAATTCATCTTCTATATTTTTATTTCTTAATAAGATATATAAAAAAAATCTTTTAACGAAAAAAGCAATTATTTGAAGAGTATGAGGTGTCTGAATAGAGCATGTAAATTCACAGGTAACAACTGAAATTCCTAAACAATACACTGAAAAACAAAACTACCAACCATTCATTGGCATTTCATCAATTTGTGTAGCGTAATACTGTTCGATATCGCGCAAAATACGGATATCATCAGATTTGACGAAATTAATGGCAACACCTTTACGACCGAAACGACCAGATCGTCCAATTCTACAAACGACATAAAATTATCCCTTTCTTTTTCCCGATAAGTTAGAAATAGGACAAAAGACTTAAAATTCCAAGGTTTTTCTGCTCAACAAACTTACCGGTGGATGTATAATTCGCGATTATTCGGCAGATCATAATTTACAACAAGTGATACTTGCGGTATATCCAAACCACGCGCAAATACGTCGGTTGAAATCAGTAAGCGACTATAAAAATTTCATGCTTTAAATTGAAATTAGATTCAAAGATGCTAAACTTGAAAGTTAGAAAATCGTGTAACATCCTTTGGCTCCAAATATCTTAAAAAAAGAATAAATTTCAAAACACCAGCGCCATATTAATCTCATTGTTAAAGCTGACCTGGCACCTCCACGGAATTCCTTCATAATTGCGTCGCGCTCCTTTTGTTCCATTTCTCCATGCATAGATGACACCGTGAAATTTGCTTCCTTCAATTTCTCAGCCAACCAATCGACCTGCAAATTTACCTCTCACTTCCGAATAAGCTTCAATTACTCGATTCCCTTTTTGAAAATATCAAATATATTCCAACATTATCAATAGACCAAATTCGTACACAGCAATTTCTCGTCACTCCATTAAACAACTTCAAGCCTCAGTTTGGGAAGTCAAAAATTCCTTCTTTTTTATCATATTAAAAATTAACCTTTCTTCGAGTGTTACAGAAAATTACTGCTTGTGTGATTGTAAGAGTATCATACAGATCACACAATGTATCGAATTTCCATTCTTCCCGATCAACTGCCACAAAGAACTGTTTGATGCCTTCCAATGTCAATTCGTCACTGAAAAATTATTTTTTTCAACAAAAAGAAGCAACAAAATTTATAACGTGCTTTCATTTATTATTAGTTTACAATCACAAATTATCAAATTGCATCCACACAGACAGGATACTTCTTTATTTACATAGATAATAAAACGAACACAGCTTGCGAAGTAATGCTGATATGCTGTATCATTTTTCTGGATAATCTTAAAACTATGAACTTTACATAAACATTGAGCTCTTTGACGAATTTAACGATTTAAATGGATAAAAATATTGTAAGCACTAACCGTTTTACAAGGATACGAATAGGATCAGTCATAAATTTGCTGGTCATCTCAAGAATTTCATGAGGAAGAGTTGCCGAAAGAAGTACCACTTGTGCACCAGGTGGAAGGTAACGATAGATATCGTAAAGTTGCTCTTTGAATCCCTTGTTCAACATTTCATCAGCTTCATCAAGTACCAGCATTTTTACGCTTCGGGTACGCAAATTGCGGCGTCGGATCATATCTAGATCAAATAATCATCTTTTTGTTTTACTTTCAACTGCTAATTCATCCAATGCTTATATCTCTCCTAGCTATCTCAATCCCTTTGACAACCAATTTCAACAAAAATAATATTAAAAATCAAAGAAAAAATCACTGATCAAGACTTCACACAAAATTTTCAAAATTATTCACCAAAAACTCGTCCAGGAGTTCCCGAAACAACATGCTGGCCATAGTCAAGTTTACGAATGTCTTCGCCAACATTTGTACCTCCAATACATGCATGGCACTGCACATTCAAATAATCACCCAAAGCAAGTACAACCTGAAAAATTCAAAACTACTTTCCCAAACGCTCAATTTCATCCGAAAGTTCGTTATTCTCGAACTAAATTAGGATAATGCATACCTTTTGTATTTGCACAGCCAATTCTCGAGTTGGTGATAAGATAAGCGCTTGTGTTTCACGTAGCGATATATCCAACGACTGCAATACAGCAATACTAAATGTTGCCGTCTTTCCGGTGCCAGACTGCGCTCTAAAATATGATAATTCGTAAAATATTACTTCACTTACCAAAATTATCACTTAATTAATAATGACTTGAAAGTGGAATGTCTAAACTATAGCATAACAATTAAAATTTAGAAATGAGTATAAGAAAATGTATTTCTTTATCAATTTATTTAGAAAATAACTTACTGTGCAATTACGTCCCGACCTTTGATGATCTGTTTGATGGCACGCTGTTGAATTGCCGATGGTTTTTCAAATCCTGAAAAATTACGATGTTAATATAAGTGACGAAATTGTAAATTATCTACCTTCAGCTTTTGCAGAACCGGTTTTGAAAAAATTAAAATATATTTCAAAACTTCTGTTTGATTTAATGGACAATTTCAGACATAAAATATCCACCTGTATAATATACTATGAGAATGAAAACGAATTGATTAGTTAATGCATGAAAAATGAAATGGCTGATAAGAACCTGTAAGTGAATTCTGATCACTAGTAAACTGATTGTGTGAAAATGTTTTAAGCAAGTAAACACTTCTTAGTTTTATTACCACTTATCCTTGAAAATAATATACGGCCGCTTCTTTGATTAATTCTTCTCTTCCCAAACAAACAAAGAAACCAACCATATGAATAAATTCCACGCAATAACTCCTCGCCCAATCCCATACTATCAAAAGTATGCACAACATCAACTTCTTCCGATGTTTCAAACTCAACGTTCGATAGATCTTCTGCCGTTGGCTCAATCTGTTTTCGTGTCCGCTTTGACATGTCTCACGTATTCGATATTATGTCTGTCCAAGTTTCAGAATTCAAAAATTAAATGCAGCAAATGAAACAAACTACACTGAAATAAACATATGCTTTTATGAAAAGACTTTACACAACACTGTTACTGGTCATAGAACGCAATATTAATATGAACGGAAAACGTGAAAAAATTGAGAAATATTTCAGGGACCAATTCTAAAAAACATCCAGTTCATCATCACTTATATAAAGCCTAGTAGCACTATCCAGCAACCTTTCGTTGATTGAGAAGCTAGATTACAATACAGTTTGCGGATTATGAAATAACCATTCACTTTTCAAGAAACTTACGGCCCACAAACAAACCGGTTAATTTGTAATAATTTTACTCCCATAACAACTTAGTACAAAAATCCAAATTTCTCGCAACGTGTACTGCTAAAATTTAAAACATTCATCATAAACCTAGCAAAATTAAACCAAGCAATATCAAAATATTACTGCATTTCAGAAATCGACATCATTAACCGAGAATTCATCAACTCATGTGTAAGTCCGATAATTCTGAAAATGTAACCAAAAAGGAACCGGAAAAATCCGGTAAGTATAAATGTCCGATAAGGCAGATACCAATGTTCAGAATGTCCACCCTAAGAAATGTCCGCCACCGCAGAGAGAGCACCACACCAACAACAATACAGTGACACCTCAGAGCTCTGTGGTAAATCGTTTATCGGCCACATACAACTTCCAACTAAAATATGGCTCGGCCCGTGGGTTATAAAACCGATGGTATTTTCGAGACTTTATTGATTGGATACGGGTAGCCTGTTGACTTGCTTCATTTCTAATTAAAAGAAGAAGACAGTGCAGTATTAGTTAGAAATATTTCTTTCGATTTTCATAAATTTTAATAAAGTTTAAAGAACCTTTCCTTAATTTAACGAATTTTTTCATTTAATTTCATTAAAAAAAGTTTACAGGTACAAAAATTACAAGCATTGTTTCCAAATGGCACACCATTGTCATACTTCATCATCATTACTTCATTATTAAATG